GGATTTGATGGAGGTTGAGAAGGTACCGTCCATATCGGACTGTAAGCTGGATCCGGGGCCCGAGGAAGAGAGGTATTAAGTGGTATCTTTGGAGGCGGATTCGGTACGTCGTGACTCGTCCCCATGTTACGGGGCCCTAGAGGGCGCCTAGAGGGTGAGCTCAACTTTGAGCTGGATTGTGAACCTTGCTGTATGTAAGAGGACGGACGAGGAGGATAGTCGTTAAGGTATTTAGGCGGCGAAGACGTTGTAGTTGCACCATTTTGTCCATTGTTCGGATGATTTTGACCATTGACAGGATATGGTGAAGCCCTTAGTTTAGCGAGGCGTTGGGCAAGTAGGTCCTCCCCGGGGGCCGAATACCTGTTCGGCTTCGGTCGTGTGTCAGGCGGTCTTTGGAATTCCGAAGGACTCGGCATCCGTACTGAACTCTCGCCTGCCTCATTCTGACGGCCTCTAGAAGTTGCACCCTGAGACGTTGCCGCGGCGGTCCCTTGAGACCCTGATGTAGTGAACCGGGATGGCCCTAGCGGTTGAATATTGCTAGCCAGATTATCCTCCAAAATCTGTTGTTTGATATCGTCCATCGTCCCTTGCTTCGTCCGCACAGCCTATGAATTTGTCAGCCATCAATCTACTACTCCTCGGAAACCCCAACTTCGTGGGCGTGTTCACTCATAAGCTATGGACACCCTCTGGAAAAGCATACCATCATAAGACTCGCAAATTGCTTGTACCATGCCGGGCTCTGACTGACGGTAACGCGGTAGTCAGGATGGTGCGGTATGATGTTGATAGTGATCTCAGATGCACGCAGGTATTGCACATAAGCTTTGTCCAATTCTTCGGTATCAGCGTACTCCCTAGCTAGCTCGATCGCCTCCTGTGACCGTTCGACCAAGTCACGCAACTATAAGCCTCCTATTAGCGATATGCCACAGTAGAAAACACGGCGAATCAACAAAAGAGCAATACCCACCGGAGTTGATTCGTTCACATCCAGAGAGGCTGCTTCATCTTGAAGGTCCTTAATGTTGGGAAATCGTGGTATTCGGGAGGAGGCATGGTTGCCATTTTGATGTGGACCTGATCTGCCATTTCGCTCCACGCCCGATTGCATGCCACCCAAGGAGTGCGGCCGATCGGGATTCTTCCACGGCGCAAAATTCGGCGGAGAGGGTAACGACGCTGCATCCAAGGTCATTATACAGGGATGGAGAGAAATATTCTCTAACGCATGATCCGTGACGGAAGGACCGCGGGGAAACGCTTCGGAAGAGCCACTAGGTATTCGGGGGGCGGTATAAAAGAAGAAACGGTCTGTGAATCGGAGCAGATGAGGGGAGAATAGAAGCAGGGACAGACACTGAATGAAAATATGGGCAGACAGTACCCCTGTATAAGAGAGTGCAAATCAACGAATGTCTGACAGACGGAGGGTGGATAGAATGACCGAAGGACACATTGAAAGAGAATAAATGCGACAATACTCTGTACCTACTAAAGGCAAGGTAGGGAACCTTTGTCGAAGGCAGAAGCAAACTGCGGGACGTTTCTGGGGTTATGCACAATCGGCGTAATGACCGTATTGGAACAGGTCTTGGTATTACTCGCCGCCTTGTCCGATGACGCCACATGCTCTTTCTGCCCCAAGACCTGATGGATTGGCCTAACTCGGAAATTCGACACCTAAGGAATCAACCACCAACAGTGCTCCAGCCAATGACTATGGCACATGGCCTTGCTTCTTGTCTTTACTAAGCAGGTCTCGCCCAGTTACAGCCTCCACTTTGTACCGCATTTGCCTTAAGGTACCTACCTACCTATCGATGGATCTGCCTGGAGCTTGAATTGATACATGCATCAACACCATCTCCTTCATCCGTCTTCCTATCGATGACCTGGTTGTTCTCCGTGAAACTCCTAATCTATCGAGTTCATCTTCAGTGAGGCCGCTGTACTCGGGGCTTCTGCGTCTACTTCTGCGATTTACTGCCCCTCATCGTTGTTTCTCAACGTCATCAATCTCCTTCGCCGCTCTCATCAATCAAATAGCGATTCTGAGGCTTTTCTAACACCGTCAACATGGCGGGTTGGTTTTCCTCTACTTCTCCTCTCGACGAGCAGGTTGAGCGTGCGACATCATCATCGCTGTATGTTTTCTTTGTTTTGAGTTTTCCCAGTGGTCGAAGCTGCCCAAGCCATAACTAACTGCCTCGATTCAAATAGAGAGGACATTGCTCTCAACCTCGAGATCTCCGACCTTATCCGATCGAAAAGCGTCCAGCCCAAAGAAGCGATGAGATCACTCAAACGGCGGCTAGAAAATAGGAATCCAAACGTGCAGATTGCGACATTGAAGGTTGTATACCTATGACCCGAGATCTCGGTGGGGTGTGTTCTCGATGCTGATGTGCTTGACATCTCTCTAGTTAACCGATACGTGCGTGAAGAATGGCGGGTCCCATTTTCTGGCGGAAATCGCGTCGCGCGAGTTTATGGATAATCTTGTGTCTCTCCTCACGGCGGAGGGGGCTCCCTTGAATACTGATGTGAAGGAGAAGATGCTGGAACTCATTCAGGATTGGGCTATGGCGGCCCAGGGCCGCATGGATCTCAACTATCTAGGCGAGACTTACCGCAGGCTGCAGAGCGAGGGCTTCCGCTTCCCCCCGAAGAACGAGATTAGTGGGAGTATGTTGGAAAGCAATGCGGTATGTTTGCGTCCATTCCATGATGCGGATCTTGTCTTGAATCTAACTGCGGAAAAACAGCCTCCTGAATGGATCGATTCCGACGTTTGTATGCGCTGCCGTACGCCATTCAGTTTCATGAATCGCAAACACCATTGCCGCAATTGCGGGAATGTCTTCGATGCTCAATGCTCCAGCAAAACCCTGCCCTGCCTCACTTAGGGATACTGCAGCCCGTTCGCGTCGATGACGGGTGCTATGCCAAACTGACATCAAAGTCATCCATGCCGTCTAGTTTGTCAGACCGGTCTGCGTTCAAGAACCACTCCATCACCAAGGCAAATGCGATGGAACCGCGCGGCGCAAGGGCAGAAGGGGGCTTTGATGATGACCTGCGGCGGGCGCTTCAACTGAGCTTGGAAGAGGCTCAAAACAAGGGCTCTTCTGGCTACGTACCATCAACTAGGATCAATAACGAACCGGCAAGGACGACTACTCAAGGCAACCACGAGGAGGAGGAAGACGCGGACTTGAAAGCCGCCATCGAGGCTTCCTTGCGGGACATGGAGGAACACAAGAAGAAGCATGCGGCCGCCCTGAAGAGTAATGCAGCAGCGACGGATTCTTCCGCTCGTGATACTACCGCCATGACACCCTTGCCCAAAAATCCCTATGAGCTGAGCCCCGTCGAGGTAGAAAACATTCATTTGTTCGCCGCCCTCGTTGACCGGTTGCAACATCAACCTCCGGGAACTATCCTCCGGGAACCTCAAATTCAAGAGCTGTACGAGAGCATCGGTGCTCTCAGACCCAAGCTTGCCCGCAGCTATGGGGAGACTATGAGCAAGCATGGTAAGTGTATTATCTCTGTTCATAGGACGATTTATTATTCCTTGAAGGTTGACTGACAGCCCATAGATACTCTTCTTGACCTGCATGCCAAGCTGTCCACGGTTGTGCGGTATTACGATCGCATGCTAGAGGAACGATTATCTAGTGCATACTCGCAGCATTCGCTCGGGTACGGAACTGTGCCGGGCGGTTCCCCATACCCCAGTATGTATCCTACAATGCCTTCCCACACCGCGGAGGGTAAAACTGGAGCCGAAAACTTTTATTACGGCAACCCGGTTGCCGATAGGGCGCCTCCAGTCGGTAACACTTATGGATACCCTCAGCCCAGTAGGGAAGTTCGTGAGCCAGCTGCACCTCCCAGTGGTCCGATCAGTTCCGGCATGTATAACCAACCCAGTCAGGCAGTGCCCCAAAATCCGCCATGGAATGGAAACGTTCCTTCTGTCGCATCACCTCAGCCATCCGCTCCCTCCACTCCTTTCCCTAACAATCCTTCAGGATATCCTGGCCCCTCTGCTCCGACGCAATACTACGCGTCCGCACCGCATCCAGAACAAGATCCAAACGCATATTCAAGTCCCCGGCCTGGGGAGACAGACATATCTCACCAGCCGTCGCCAATCATGCGACGAGATTCTTACTATCAATCGGCTGGAGCGCCTGTAACTGCGCGGGCGAGCGCACCGGAACAATCTCCGCCTACAGACCAGGGCCAGTCTCCAGGTTATATGCAATACGGAGATTCCCGTCCTGTGCAATCGACTGGTCAACCTACCCCTCAGCATCAGCATACGGCGCCTCCCCCCAGTCATACTACTTCCAGCAACAACCTCCGCAAGGCGCACCGCTTCCAACACACTCGCAGACTCCAGCTGCACCATATGGAACGTACCCTGGCGGAGACGTTTCCCCGATTGGTGCGTCTGCACCTCCGGTGCATTACCAACAAGTTGCGCCAACGAAACCGGCAGTTGAGGAAAGTCTGATTGAACTGTAGAGGGTCTCATGATTGAATTGGCGATGTATAGCATTATTGTGGTCGCTTTTCCTCTCCTTTATACAGCAGACCTGCTCGTGGTTGTTGGCCTTTTGTGACCATTATGATACCAGACGATTTGAAAGATTTTAGTATATGAGATTGGACACGCATTGGTTTCTGCATTAACATTCACTACTTCTACTCTTTGATGCCCCTAGTCAGCTTGTGTTTGTCTATACTTGTACTTGTAGAGTATTATACTTCAAGTGTGAGAACCGATGAGCACTTGGGACGCCTGAAACCTGATTGCATATTCTGATTGCGTATTATGAGCTGATGTGGTCAAGCAAAATCATACTTCTCGCTGCATATCTTACTTTCGTTAATTTCGCTGCCTCTTATTCTGGGTTGGTTATCTCGATCATAAAAGTGCCATTAGCAGCTTATTCATTTGTGAGTATTGGAAATGTTGCAAAGTGCTTATATGATTTATTCCGTCTGGTTCGTTACACTGCTCATTATTGAGGATGATGAAATCTATCCACATCTTACAAGCGCCCATGGTGAAAAAAAGCTTGGTACAGGAAGGACCATGGGGAAGGGCAGTTGAAGAAAAGAAATAAGGAAACATAAAAAAATACATCAAATGCTATTCCATGTCAACCATTGACGCAGTAGGATATCCCGAATTTGGTGAGAAATGTACGTAAGTTAGAGCCATAAGCGATGCACCGGACGCCGTTAGTGCTAGAATGGGAGTCAAATAAATATGAATGAATAGAAGACAGAGGTAGAAAGGAGTAAAGGGGTAAGGCAAAAGGACATCGCCGGGTGAAAGATAGTACCATCTAGCCATGAGTAGCTACCTCGCGGCTCTCCCACATGCGGCGAATCATCATATCTGATTCACTGGTGAAATAGCTGTCGCCAAAGTCCTCGTCTGCGGCGGTGGTCCCGTGAGGGCCTTCGTCAGAAGTCGACAAGATGCGCTGGGAGGGGTGTTGGGATTTGTTGGAGTCGCTGGGCTCGTCGGCATCTTCGAGGTATGTTTGGGACACAGATTTCTTCAAGTCCGAAGTTTTTCTGCTGATAAGTTGCCTTGGCTCGGGGCTTGGTGAGTTCCTTTGCTGCTTTCCAACTTGTTGTAGTTGTGCGAGTGCAGGTGCCGACTTGATTGGTTTGCCGAGTGCCGATGTACGGTCGGAATTGGAAGTTATAGGAGCCTTGGAGTCATTAAGGATAGCCGCCAAGCGGGCGAAACTGTCGCCTGTTGGAGACTGGAATCTTCGGACAACGCTAAGTTCCAACGCGATTTTCTCGTATGCCTTCCGGATGTGCTTCGCTTCAGTATCTCCGCCGGTTCGGGAGGAGCCGTTGACGAGCGCTCTGCTGGCCTCGTAGACGCCTGACCCTGCGCGGCCATGCGACGCTATGAAGGCCGTGTCCATTGCCGAGGGAGAGACTGCTGTAGACATGCCATGGCTGTCGGGAGGAGAGGTATTTAAAGCAGCAGTTCGTTGCAGCCAAAGCTTCTGCTGGGTCCGAGAGGGGGCTCAGTGCCTGGTGGTCGTGAAGGGGGCGACGCTTTGTGCTTTCCTATCCCGCGGTTCGGAGACGGTGGGGTCTGCGGATGATAATGTGGAAGAAACGATGACGGTGTATTTGGGTCCGAGTCCGTGCGCGATGATGCGTGGGGCCTGGTTTGATTGTTAATGATGAATCTCGAAACACCCCCTTCCATAGACGAGGACGTTGCGTTCGTCTGATTCCCCGGCGTATTTGCGAGCGTAGTGGTTGATGAAGATAGAGGGCGTCGTAAGCCGTCGGGACCGGCGAGATTGGTCAAGGAAGCATTCCGCGATATTGTGTCAACGGGAGCTGGCTTCACTGTCGCAGAAATAGAAGACATCGCGGGAGGTGCTCTAGCAGAATGCGAAGGGCTTAACAAACGGGTCGCGATGTCGCTGTGCTCAGGCAAACGGGCAATCTCTTCCTTCCGCTCCTCAGGCTCCGAGTCAGACTGGTCCTGCGGTTGATCGTTCTCGTCAGGAGAGTGATCGTCACGCGAGAAGCTCCTACAGGCTGATTCCGGCAAGCTGCTCGCGGCACGAGGCACCTGAGGATACGGGCGCTTGACAAAGGTGAGGGGGTCCACCAGCACAGCAGTATTCTCCACGCTATCTTTGGATTGAGCAACTGAGCTGCGTCTCGTGCTCTCTGGCGACTGAGTAGTATCTTCCCACTCGCCCTCGTCGTAGTCGTCGTCGTTGTCTGAAACTCCTAATTCAAAGCCAACGGTCTTCTTCTTCCCAGAACTGGTTGCTGGGCGATCTGTTACCAATGCTTTCTTTGCCAGCACACCAGAGGAATTGCGTCGAGGGTTTCGCAGAGCAGGGCTCGAGTTGTTTCTTTTGATTGACGATGTCGCGGACTGGCCAGCTTCCAAACCACTGTCCCAACGCACGTGGTGACCACCGCGTGGACTTGCCGCTGGTGTCGCCGGTGCTGACTTCTTCCGTTGATGATGACGAACTGTTGCTTCGGTTGTAATATGTCCAGCAGAAGTATGCCGCTGGAGCTTGTTTAAGTTCTTTCCGAAAGATGGGTTGCGACCGTGACTGCGATGACCGCCACCGACGACATGTGCTCGGGGACGGTGGGCAAGTGCTTTCTGAGGATGGGTGTCTGACGAGTCTGACGAGGTACGCGTGACGACAGCGTGAGACGAAAGAGCACGGCGGGCCAGGCCCGGGCGCTTAACAGGGGAGGAGGTGTTGGAGGTCGGCATGGCGGGCAGCAAGGCCAGCGCTGGTGCAGGTAAGGGCTCGCACAGATGGCACGGATGCAGCTCCGAAACGGGCGACAAGCAGCTGCCGGCCGGGGGGGGGGGGGGTTGTGTTCGGTCGATCAACTATCGATGTGAAGGGGGCATCAAACGCCACGATTTGACTTTCAATTGAGACCGAAAACAAGTACACTGGCAAAGCAAAGTCGCAGAGCCAACGGGAAATATCGGTGGTCGATCAAGCCAAAAGAAAAGCAATGAGCGAGGATGAACGAGTGCTGCTGTAATCGCTGGTTGCTGCTGGTTGCTTCTGTTGCTGCTAGAGACGCGGGGGCTGAAGCAATAATTGGCTGGATGGAGGAACAGGCAAAGTTACACTGCACGTGAGACAAGAGGGCCCGCACGAGGACCAAAGTGGCAAGGCTCTTGAAGAAAGGATCGCCAAGTTGATCGATGAGATCGAAGGATCAGGGGAGTTGGAGCAGAGCGAACGAAACACTGAGACGAAGATCAAAGACGGGAATATGACGGCGAAGAGAAGGTCGGGTCGTGGTGGGAGGCCAGAAGTATGAGAGCAGTGAAGAGCGGTACGGAATACGGAAAGCAGAAATAGGAATAGAACACAGTAGATAGGTAGATACTACGGAATAGTCGTCTCCACTTGCATCGCCAGTTCTAGACCAGGAGTGGTGAGTGGTATTCATTCCATTCCATGCTTCGTACAGAAGAAGAGAATAAAATCCACTTAAAATACTAAAGATCGGTCAGGTCGGGTATATGCATAGCTTCTGTCTGACATGCATGTATGATACAAAGTACTGCATAGGTACTCCATACACTCTCCTCAGCCATACACTGTCACCTAGCGAACTGCAATGCCGTCCATATACGGCTTCATGATATTGCTTAACAGCTCCTATTACAATGTATTAGTCAGTGTGCCCGAGTGGTTAAGGGGAGTGATTAGAAATCACTTGGCTTCGGCCGCATAGGTTCGAGTCCTATCGCTGACGGTAGTCTTTTTCGCCTCCCTTTCCTTTGTAAATAAAAGGAAGAAAAATTAGTTTGCGTCGTCGCGACATCGGCTTACTTTTTAGGCAGTTAAGAAGCCAGAACAGAATAGTAAAAACTAAAACTAGGCGGGTAGGAAAAAGGAAATCTCCCCGACAGGGAGTCGAACCCTGGTCTCCCGCGCTCGTTCTCTTGGAGTGACAAGCGGAAATCATGACCGTTAGACCATCGAGGATATTTGTTGGTGCTTCATCCCACTTTTGAATAATTGAAGGAAACCGCTATGAGCACCCAGAATTGTATGACATGACAAAAGTTCTTATTAGCGTTCGAAATCTTGTATGACGAACATATATCTAATTCAGTGATTTAAGTCTATCCAGTGCTTGTTGCTCAAGTATACATTTCGTCCCATGATATGTGAGAATGACAAATGGTGTACAACCCGAGTGTGCCGACGGGGTATATAAAGAAAGGGGCGTTAAGGAACCTGATTCATGTCGAAGGGGATGATCAATGAACGGTCTGGCCTGACACAGTTCGGTCGCGTTCTTTTCCCTTCCTCGGATGGCCCCCTCTGCCGCCGCGACGAGAATTGGCGCCGGCAGCGTTCGCCTGATTTCCGTTCGTTTCGGGTTGCAGGTTGTCCCGACGAGAGTCCGAGGTCTTCTGCCCGTTTTGGCCCTTCGCCTGAGACAGCTGTTGAGTCAATCCCGAAGGACCAGCAGCATTCTCTGGACCCTTGCCACGCTTCTTGCGATTGTTTGATCCTCTACCGCGTCCGCCACGGCCACCTCTACCTTCGCTGTCCTTTTGACTAGCGGTGGTTGAATCAGGCTCCGGTATCCCTTGGACACGCCTGCTCTCTTTGTCCCACCATTCCTGAAACTCCTGTTCCAGCTGAATATCTTGAAGATTATGCTTAGCTGTTGCTGCCTCGCGCAGCTCATCCTTTTCGGTCTGCTGCTGCATTAAGATCGCAGCCAAGGACAGCGAGTTAGGTGAAGGTGAATGGAAACTCGTCTGGTACGGTTCCGAGCGTGGTATGTGGCGTATGGATTTAATGGGGGTCTGAGCACTAACCAGACCATTGGGAGATGTCGAGGGCCCGGCTGCAGCTGGTCCCTGTGGCGAAGACTTCATAGATGGCTGCGGGCCGCCAGAGACACTGCGGCCTTGGCCAGGTGCTGGTGTTGCGCTTGGTGTCGATCTGGGCGGCGGTGTCCCAGCAACTGTTTGACGGAGGGTCATAGAAGGCTTCTGAGCGAACTTTGACGGTTGAGAAGATTCCCCGTCCTTTCCATAAGATCCAAAAGGAGTACCAGGCTGGTCCGGTGATTTGACCGGAGTAGAGATTTTCCATGGATTCTGTGGTGCCTCCTTCGCTTTCTCCTGAGCCGCAAGCTTCTCCTGCAATTGCTGCTGTTGGAGCTTCTTCCTTTCCTTCTGAGACAGCTTGGGGGTAAAGTTGTTGCCGTTCTCACGGCGAGCGGACATGCCAAGGCTTAGATTGGACACCCTTCTCTCCGAGGGTTCGGACATAATATCCTTCAAATCTTTCTTCGGAGTCGAGATAGCCGACGAAGCCCACGGTGTTTGGGTTGGACTGGAGACGGGATAGCCATTCTTCTTCTGCTCGAGTACTGCTGCTCTGAATGCCGACGGTGACTCCGAAAGTGCGTTCTCTTGAGGCGACTGCAACGATTCTCGCAGGACATTTGAATCGTTGTTGAACAATTGCTTGTCACCGAGGCTTGTGCCCAAAGCTGGAAAATCTAGTGACGGCTCCGACGCCCTACCTTTGCGGATTGCTGTCTTTCCCTTGGCTGAATCTGCGGGTGACAACATCGGGTCGTCGTCCATCTGGAACATCAAGTCACTGGTTGATTGTCTGGACTTCAAGATGGGACTACGAGGTATGTCCGAGTTCTCTTTGAGAAAAGCCGCTTTCGCCTTCTGCACTGACGGTGACTTAGCCACCTTATCGTCAGTGGCAGGACGGGGCTTCTCCTCGCAGCTTTGAAGACAATTGAGACGGGACTGGAGCCTCATCGAATCAATCATCTGCCGTCTATCCGCTTGTATCGATGCGAAGAGTTCAGGGTACTTCTCAAACACAAAGGCTTCAGAATTCCGTCCTCTCGATACTGGGAAGCTTGTCATTTGATTCTCATGGCAAACAGTATCAAGGGCGTTAAGCAAGTTCTCGTCAAGGTCTCTGAGGTACCTACGCAGCGCGTTAAGATCTCCTCTTATATGTGTAGAAATGCGAACCAACCTTTGCGCCAACAAATCTTCCAGATTGAGGCAGATATACTCCAGTGTAGCATCTTTGAACTCACTCACCGCACAGGGAGAAATCGAATTGAGGAGGCCGCATACATTGGTCGTGGTTACTAGAGAATCTCAGTAACAGAACCCGGAAATCTTGAAGAGAATGTCATACCGAATTTGCCTAGCATCTTCTGACATACTTGCGCTAATCGGTCGATCATCAGTTCATTCGCTGTGAACGCGACATCAAGCACAAGATCGATGAATCCGTCCAACGTTTTCGATCGAACCTCGTCAAAAAGCTGCTCCTCCGCGTCTGTATAGATGTGCCGGAGAACGAACTCAAATATGGGCCGGTCTATGTGTTTGAGGTCAACGCGAATGCTGTCATTTACATCCGTACGGCGCGATGACAGCCATCTTCCGCCAGAGCGGCCGTTGAACAAGGTGTCGAAAAAGGGACATCTCCGGCAAAGTACTTGACTGTGAGCCTTCATTGTTTCGCCGTTGAGCTCGATTATTACATCAGAGCTCTCGAAGAAAGCTGGATCGTTAAACGCATGGGCCATATCAAGTTTCAGACTCTTAGTAGGCTCTATCATGAGCCGCGCAGCTCGTTCCAAGGTGGGTAGACCCAGGTATGTCGCGATCCGCATAACCTCAGAGCGGACTTGGCGATATCTTGACGCATTTGCAGCCGAAGCTCTCATCTGGTGCCATACGTCCAGCACATTGTCTGTATATAGGAAAAAGGCAAGATTGAGGATTGCCAAAAAGTCCAATCCATTGAACCGCACATGGCATTGTCCATTTGGGCCATACTCAATGTCCAGAACATCAGGCAAAGAAAAGTAGTATGCCTGGCGAAACTCATGGAACGCCTTCCTAAGAACCGAGCTACGTCCAGTCAAGATGAATTCATGGACTGGTATTCGTGCATCAGAAAGAGAGCTCAAGAGGAAAACGGTGCCCTCAGGTGCCTCGTTTCGAAGAGGCTGGAAGTAAGATTCAATGTCCGAAATCGACATTGCCGCTCTCTTCATTGCATCGGCGGATCCTCCATCCGAAAGAGCATCTGAGGCATCATCCGTCTTTAACGGAGTAACGGTGGATACTAGCGAAGCGAAGGGCGATAATGGGAGAAAGTCTTCCCACAATGTGCTTTGATCGACATTTATCTGCTCCTTGGTCACATCGCAGTCGCGCTGCGCTACGGCGTAAGCCCCATAGGCGTTGCTGCACACCCCCACAACGCGAGAAAGACCTGGGACACGAGCAAATTTATAATCCTTCGAAATTCCGTCCTTTGCCTTCCTGCGCTTCTCTTTCGTCCAGGCTGACCCCGAAGCCGTACATATGATGATGGACCCGTCTTGTCCGACATCAACATCTGTGACGGCCATATGCGCCTTCTTCACAGTCCAAACCCGGACCGGGGAAGAAAGAGAGTTGCGAGTCTTTGATGGATTTGTAGTCGAAGTTGAAGTCGGAGGATTTTCAGATCTATTAACGCGAACTGTGAAGACTTCACCAGAACTTGACCGTGCACAGATTGTATCGCCACCGGATTTTACCTGAACGATGCGATTGACCGATGTGTCATACCGAGTTGCCATGAAGCTGTTTCTAATGAAGCTTGAGCTGACGTCCAACGGAAATGAGAGCCTGGAATAGCCATATTGGGAGAACACCCAAACTTCATGATTTTGGAGAAGAACGATTGTGGCGTAATCAATGGCAGACACACTTTGTATACCAGCGCTGAATAGGGACGCTCCAACGCGCCGAGGCGTAATCTGATATTCAAGGGAT